ATAAATAAATGCAATGAAAACTTCCCTACCTTTATATAAATATTGTTCACATATATGCTTCAATGTGAACACTTGATCTACACATCCCCTATACATTCTAAAGCCTCCTTCCTCATCTGAAATCCTGCACTCTGTCTTACCTCTAATTATTTCAATAATTACCCTTCCATCCTAGGTAGTAGGTTGGTAGACAGCAACCACCCAGGGAGGTACTACCGTCCTGCCAAGTGAATGTAAAACTGAAGCCTGTAACTGTTTTACACGATGGTAGGATTGCTGGTGTCTTTTTTTTCCTGTCTCATACACATGCAAGATTTCAGGTATGTCTTGCTACTTCTACTTACACTTAGGTCACACTACACATACATGTACAAGCATATATATACACACCCCTTTGGGTTTTCTTCTATTTTCTTTCTAGTTCTTGTTCTTGTTTATTTCCTCTTACCTCCATGGGGAAGTGGAACAGAATTCTTCCTCCGTAAGCCATGCGTGTTGTAAGAGGCGACTAAAATGCCGGGAGCAAGGGGCTAGTAACCTCTTCTCCTTTATATATTACTAAATGCAAAAGGAGAAACTTTCGTTTTTCCTTTTGGGCCACCCCGCCTCGGTGGGATACAGCCGGTGTGTTGAAAGAAAGAAAGAATTACCCTTCCATACATTTACCTGGTATACTCAGTAAACTTCTTCCTCTATAATTTTTACAGTCTCTTTTGTCCCCCTTCTTTTTATATAAAGGAACTATACATGCTATCTATCAATCTCTAGGTACCTTTCTCTCTTTTATATACATATATATATTTTATTATTATTAACACATCGGCCAATTCCCACCAAGGCAGGGTGGCAGAAAAAAAAGAAAAATTTTCATCTTCATTCACTCCATCACTGCCTTGCCAGAGGGGTGCTTTCCACTACAGTTTTAAAACTGCAACATTAACATCCCTCCTTCAGAGTGTAGACACTGTACTTCCCATCTCCAGGACCCAAGTCCTGGTATTGCAGTCTATTACTCTAACCAATTATCTTGTATTAGCACCACTTGCTTTAGTGATGAATATGGAGAATACATTTTTGCTAATTTTATTGTAAAAAACCTTAAGACGCCTGTAACAATCGGTGCCATTTACCGGATACCCCACACAAACATCCCAAATTTCAGTGAGAAATTAAAGGAACTAATAACAAACAGACAAATGAATAAGCACCACCTTCTCTTAGCTGGAGACTTCAACATCAACCTTGGCCTACTAGATGATCAGCCTGTAACTGATTTCATCAACAATATGAACAACACACTTCTCATACCAACAATAACTAAACCAACCAGGCTCACTGAAATAAGTGTAACCATAATAGAACACACATGGACCAATATACTAGCCCCACTTAAATCAGGGATAATCACAGATAGCACTACAGACCACTACCCTACCTTCCTCTTGACAAACATTAGTAAACCACCACTTGAATACAACAAAGTTTCATTTAGACTCCATGATGAGGCCTCAATAAGGAAGTTCACAGCTGACCTAGAGACTGTTGACTGGGCTACAGAATTCTCCAAGGCCAATGGTATTGATGACTGGACAGACATTTTTCTTAACAAATTACTTAGACTGTACAACAAACATTGTCCTATAAAAACGAAACAGATCACAAACAAACGGCTTGGTTGCCCATGGCTAACCAGCACCATTCTGAAATCCATTGATAAGAAACACCAATATGAAAAGCAATATAGACAGGGCCTAATACACATAGATATTCTTAAACACTATTCATCAGTCCTCACCAAAGTAATAAAGAAAGCCAAACAACTATACTACTCCAGTAGATTCACTGACACAAGAGGAGATATAAAAAAGACCTGGAAAACACTCTCAGATACTAGGGACCCACAAACTAAAAAAAAAAAACAAGAATATTGTCCTAACTAAACCTAATGAAACACCACTGCATCCCACTGACATAGCTAACAAGATAAACGACTTCTTCTCAACCGTAGGTTCTAATCTCGCCAATAAAATCCCACGTACCAATGCCCATGCCGGGGACTACCTAGATGGGAATTTCCCAAATTCCTTCTATCTTGCTCCAACTGAGCCCACGGAAGTCACCGAGATTATAAAGTCACTTAAAAATAACTCAGGGAATCTGTCTCATGTCCCACCATTATTGTACAAGAGAGCGGCCCATGTCCTCTCGCATGCTATCTCATTACTTTTTAACAAGTCACTAGAAACTAGCACCTTCCCGAAACTACTCAAGACGGCAAGGGTTACACCAATACATAAAGGTGGTGACCCTACAGATTTAAACAACTATAGGCCAATATCAAACTTACCATTGCTATCCAAAATCTTTGAGAAACTCGTGCACAGGAGACTATATTCATTTATAATGGCACAAAACATACTCAACCCTGCCAATTTGGATTCAGGAAAAATAAAAGCACTAACGATGCAATCATAAAATGCTAGATCTGCTTTACACAGCATTGGAAAATAAGGAATATCCACTAGGAATTTTTATTGGCCTAAGAAAAGCTTTTGACACAGTAGACCACGGCATCCTACTCCACAAACTTGACCATTATGGTATAAGAGGCCATGCGCTTGCATATTTCAAATCTTACCTTACTAATAGGTATCAGTATGTCACCATTAAAGACACAGCATCAACAACACAGCCACTTGATACTGGAGTTCTGCAGGGAAGTGTCCTTGGTCCCCTGCTCTTCCTCATATACATCAATGATCTCCCAAACGTATCTCAACACCTGAACCCCATTCTCTTTGCTGACGACTCGACTTATGTCATCTCTCACCCTAATCTTGCCACCCTCAACACCATTGTTAATGAGGAGCTGATAAAAATATCGACTTGGATGACAGCCAATAAACTTACGCTTAACACTGACAAAACCTACTACATTATGTTTGGTAGCAGAGCAGGAGATGTGCAAATTAACATTAAGATCGACAACACTCTAATTGCCAGGCATAATGAGGGCAAATTCCTAGGCCTATACCTCGACAACAACCTGAACTTCAGCACCCATATCCAACACATAACCAAAAAAGTATCCAAAACGGTTGGGATCCTCTCCAAGATACGATACTACGTGCCGCAAACTGCCCTTCTCACACTATACCATTCACTTATATATCCATACCTCACCTATGCTATCTGTGCTTGGGGTTCAACTGCAGCAACACACCTAAAGCCAATAATAACCCAACAAAAAGCCGCAGTAAGAATAATCACTAAATCCCATCCCTGGCAACACACCCCCCCACTCTTCATAGATCTAAACTTACTCCCTGTTCAGTACATCCACACTTACTACTGTGCAATCTACATCTACAGGACCTTAAATTCCAATATTAACCTTGACCTAAAACGCTTTCTTGATAGTTGTGACAGAACCCACAGGCACAACACCAGACACAAACATCTCTATGACATTCCCTGTGTCCGACTAAACCTTTACAAAATTCAATGTATGTCAAAGGCCCTAAAATCTGGAACACCCTACCTGAAAATTCTTAAACTGCAGACACATTCATCACCTTCAAAACTACCATCAGAAAACATCTTATCTCCCTGATACACCCTGTCAACTAATTACACGAATACCGAATACCACCTGGTGGTTAACACTTACACTCACTCACCCATTTGACCATAAGCAGAAATATCAATCTCAATCTCAAAACAATGAATCTTAACTAGTCATAAGTTGGCCTGTGATACTCCAATACTGAAACTATGTATTGTGCAAAACAAAAGCATTCACATTGCTAAACTCACAAACTAGTATTTAGTCACTTAGCTATAATACCAACTTACCTCATAATTTTGTAATATTTTAAACTTAAGATTTAATTTAAGTCTGCCCGAAATGCCTAGCCATGCTAGGTGTTCTAGTGGTACACTCTGTAATTATTATTTTACTACATGTAAACCACACAATAACCAAATTCTGTAAACTCAGCATTGTAATCTTTATAGAGAATAAACTTTGAATTGAAATGAATGTTACTTTGCTCACACTCTAACAGCACGTCAAGTATTAAAAAACAATTGTCTCCATTCACTCCTATCAAATACACTCATGCACGCTTGCTGGAAGTCCAAGCCCCTCGCACACAAAACCACCTTTATCCCCCTCCCTACCCTTCCTTCCCTCCACTACAGATTTATACACACTCGAAGTTATTCTGTTTTGTTCCATTCTCTCTACATATCCGAACCACCTCAGCAACCCCTCCTCAGTCCTCTGGATAATAGTTTTGGTAATCCCACACTTTCTCCTAATATCCAAACTACGAATTCTCTGTATTATATTCACACCACACATTGCCCTCAGACATGACATCTCCACTGCCATACCCTACCAAATTCATCCACCAACCTCTACAACTTCTCTTCAGAATCTCCCAAAAGCACCGTGTCATCAGCAAAGAGCAACTGTGACAACTACCACTTTGTGTTTGATTCTTTATCTTTTAACTCCACACCTCTTGCCAAGACCCTAGCATTCACTTCTCTTACAACCCCATCTATAAATATACTAAGCAACTACTGTGACATCACACATCCTTGTCTAAGGCCTACTTTTACTGGGAAATAATCTCCCTCTCTCCTACATTCTCTAGCCTTAGCCTCACTATCCTCATAAAAACTCTTCACTGCTTTCAGTAACCTACCTCCTATACCATACACCTGCAACATCTGCCACATTTCCCAACCACTCCAACAGTTTATCCCCCCATGCTTTTAACATTTCTGTCATGATCCCGTCAGTTCCAGCTGCTTTACCACTTTTCATTCTACATAATGCTTCATGCATCTCCCCCCACACTCACATCCTGCTCTTCTTCACTCCTGAAAGATGTTTTACCTCCCTGTCCAGTGTATGAAATCACTGCCTCCCTTTTTTCATCAGCATTTGAAGGTTCCTCAGTACTTGTATGGTATTCAAATTAAGACAGAGAACTGTTACTTGGCACTATTTTTTTGCAGGCACCTCCACCCCTGTTTCCAGTGAGCATGACAGTTGACCCAGTCCAGATCAAAGAGATACGCAAGCATCTGTTGCTGGAAAATAACAGAGCGAAGGAGCTTGTCGACAGGAGTCGAAGAGGGATGGATGTGGTAAATGAAGCTTATAAATTTTACGGGACTCTTATTGACACCTTTGATGCTTAATACTTTAATGGGCAAGTCTAAAAATTGGGCATCTTCAAATGTCCTTATTATGGATTGATAGAATATCTCAAAGTTAACCAAATGAGCCTATATAAATATATTTCTAGAAATAAGTTCAGTTGGAAGATATGACACCAATTTAAATGTAGGCATGCCCAAAAATGGTAGAATGCATTGTAGGCATTGCAAAGACCCAAATGTTAATTAAATGCCAAATATGTATTTTTCTAATTTAATATGCAAACGAACATTACCGAAATAATAAAGGGAACTTGTTTCCAACCATTGTGAAGCTAAGAAAGCAAAAACTTAAATCATCATTCAACACTTTCACTATCATACATAATCACTGTCTTTGCAGAGGCGCTCAGATATGATGGTTTACATGTCCCTCCAAACTCCCAATATCCCAAACCCCCTTCTTTAACCCTTAACCCTTTCAGGGTCCGTGCCGTAGATTTTTGGCTTTACGTTCAGGGTCCAAACCGTATATCTACGCCATGAGCTCGGCTCACTCTGATAAGCTGTGAGTGGTAAATTTGGGCCTAGATATGAGAGAATACGTTTGTGGTATGTGTGCACCACATAAAACAAATCTTGCAGCACACAGTGTATAATGAGAGAAAAAACCGAGACCGCGATTTTCGATTAAAACAGCAACTTTGCAGTGTTTTTTCGTATGTTTTCTATAGTTGTATTTGCAATTTCTTGGTCTCATTTGATAGAATGGAAGACATATTACAGAAATAGAGATGATTTTGATTGGTTTTAGCACTGGAAATGGCTTGAAACTGAGCTCAAAGTAGCGGAAATGTTAAATTTTTGCCAATGTTCAAGAGTAAACAAATGACCTCACACATCTAATACACGCCAGCTGGTGGGTCTAATATACATTCACAAATGTGGTGATGATATTTATACAATTTATTACAATAATGCATAACAGTAAATCTTCTATTTTTTGGTTTGAATAAAAATTCATGACGTGAATAAAAAATCAAAATAGAATTCGTTTGTAAAGCCTCAAAACGTAACCAATGAACAGAGGAAATGGTAGTTTAGTGCCAGGAATACCTACATTGTTTATTCTGGACCCTATTTTGAAACTGGAATATTTTGAACTTTGTGTTAAATTGGCCAAATTACCAATTTCCAATCACTTTATTTTGTAGTTGAAACAGTTGAATGGGCGATTTCTTGTGCTCAATCAATAGAATAGAAGTAATACTAGTGAAATAGCTAAGAATTTGGTTGACTTGAATAATGTAATTGGCCAAAAATGGGAGTCAAAGTCAGCAAAATCGCTGATTCGTAAATATCGCTTACACATCAAAATTCGCGAGAGCATAATTTTGTCAATTTTCCATCAAATTTCGTACTTTTTGTTTTATTACCTTCAGAAAAAGATTCTCTACCATATCATAAGAAAAAATAACAAACTTTTTTTTTTTAAATTCTTGGACCCTGGTGTGCACTGAGAAATTTGGCCTCTGGACCCTGAAAGGGTCCAGAGGGTCTAGAATTATTTATAATAAGGTCTAGAATTATAGGAATTATAGGTCTAGAATTATAGGTCTAGAATAATAGGGTCTAGAATTATTTATAATAATAAATAATTCTAGACTGTTGTATTCTGAGCACCTCTGCAAAAACAGTGATAATGTGTGAGTGTGGTGAAAGTGTTGAATGATGATGAAAGTATTTTCTTTTTGGGGATTTTCTTTCTTTTTTGGGTCACCCTGCCTCGGTGGGAGACGGCCGACTTGTTGAAAAAAAAAAAAAAATGTTTGAGCGTGTTAGAAATGAATGGAGACGAGTGGTTTTGGGGACCTGATGAGCTGTTGGAGTGTAAACAAGGTAATAGTGTGTGAAGGGATTCAGGGAAACTGGTTAGCTGGACTTGAGTCCTGGAGGTGGGAAGTACAATGCCTGCACTTTAAAGGAGGGGTTTGGGATATTGGCTGTTTGGAGTGACATCTAAACTGTTGTATCTGGGCATCTCTGCAAAGACAGTTATTATATGTGAATGATGGTGAAAGTGTTTCTTTTTGGGTCGCCCTCCCTTGGTGAGAAACGGTCGACGTGTTAAAAAAAAAATTGATAAGTACTGGTTTGGCGAGAGTGGAAGGAGAGAGGAATGCACTCCCAGATAGCATCACTGAAGTGAGAAATTTGTGAAATTTGTGCAAGTTTGACAGGTACATGCAAGAGCGTGGACAGTTTATTAACATTACAATTTTCATATTATTAAGGGAAAATGCTATGGTCACACAGTACCTGTGGAATGGTAATCAAGTTTAATTCTAAGTAGGGGAGGGTAGCTCCAATTCTTTTAATCAAAAGCCCTTCACCAAGGGAAAATTCAGATGTACCAACAAGAACTTTTTGGCATTAACTTGGCATAGATTCCCTGCTCAGTCACTAAGATCTAAATAATTTTTTTAACATGCCTTCTGCCATCTCCCACTCAGGTAGGATGGCCCCCTTCCCCCCCCCCCAAAAAAAAAAAAAAAAATTACTGCCATTCATTTAATCCAATTTAATTTTATATTATAGAAAGGACAGGAAGAATAAGCTGTTACAAGAACCCATAACTTAACCATGAGAATGATTTTGTCATTAAGATACTTAACTACTTGACAGTATACTGCCTTCTCTAGAATTTTGGACATTATAGTGCGTATACTAACAGCTCTATAGTTGCTGACATAAGACATAATAATTATCACTAGGGCACATTAAATGTCTCATTTTATGTTAATGTATATTTTCATTAATTCGTCCATGATATTCTCTTCCCTCATTAATTTGATGGACTACCTATGAACTGAAATGTCGCTAGGGAATTTCATAGGAATGGTAACCTTAGACTTGCAAAAGGCCTTCTATACAGTCAACCACAATATATTATGTAAAAAACTACATGCTGTCGGCATGAGTTCTGTAGAATGTTTTAAGTCCTACCTGAAAAACAGGAACCAAATTGTCAAGATCAACAACACGGAATCAGAGCCCATGCCAGTAACGTGGGATTCCTCTAGGTAGTATCCTAGGCCCTTTGGTATTCCTGTGCTATGTGACCCCTCTAAGGAGGTTCCTTGATGCTGGTGAGGGGCTCTTGATTAGGGAATTGGTTTTGGGGCCCCCTTTCCCTTCCCCCCCCCCCCCATAAGTACCTTCACCCCCCCTACGTTTGTAAAATCCTACGGGTTTAGCGCCCCCCCATGTTTTATATTAATAATGTGCTCGTGAATGACATGCCTATCTTTGTCAAATGCAAGCTTCTACTTTATGCAAAAGGGAAAAGTCCCTCTGTTAGAAAGATAAAGACCCACAAGACTTTTGCTTATGTACTGTCATTGGGAACTTGAGTCCTGTCCCAAAGGGGTTAGTGGGAAAAACCAAATTTCACTACCCCTCTGGGAAAACAGAAGCCATGCACTTTGGCAGGGAAACATAAATTAAAAAGGGAAAACAAATTTTTAAATTGTCCAGTGAAATGGGGAGCCCTTTTTTTACAGTAAATTCGTAAAATACAGTTTTCGGGGTTTCCCCGGGGCCCCAAAGGGCATGTCAAAAACTAACAGGGAAAAAATTTGTTATAAAAAAAGCAAATGCCAGACTAAAGTTTCTCTGCGGGCAGGCACAGTGTCTAACAAGTGAGGTGCAGGACTCTTTGTCTAGCTTTTCATACAATTATTATAGACTACTCTTGCTCTTCAGGGTGCTCTGCCTTAAAAAAAAAAAAAAAAAAAAAAAAAGGCGTAAAAATCCCCCAGAAAAAAAAATGGTGAGTTTCTTTTTGGGGCCCGGGGTCCAAGAGAGCATGGGGGGCTAAAATGAATTACAACAATGGACGTGTTTTAAATGTTGAAGACAAGGGGTAAAAAAAATTAAAGGGCAAAATTTAGGGCTTATAAAATTGCTACGCCAGTGCCCCCAAATATCTTAGTGCCAGTTTTTTTTGGGAAATAGGAAACCAATGAAATTTACGGGAACTAGGGGGGAAAAAGTTTGGAGTAATAGATTCAGGGGTTTCAGGCTTAAAAGGGACTTTTTTCTGTTCATTTAATAAAAGAGTGGAATAGACGGTTTGCATATTTTAAAACCCTGAAAATAGCTGAGCCAGTTCAAGAAGAGGGGCCAAAAATACCTCTAAATTTGGGTTTACAAAAAAGGGAGGAGGTGATTTCTTGTTTAAAAATAACTAATTTTTATTTCCCCCCTTGTTATCTTTCTTTTATTGAATGCTTTTACATATTTAAAGATCTTACCTTTTTTTAATTTTAATTTCTAAATAAAAAACTATCAAAAAATTTCAAAACACAAAGTGAGAGTTGTCACAGTTGCTCTTTGCTGATGCCCACTTCTTTTGGGAGATTCTGAAGAGAAGTTGCAAAAGTTGGGGGGTGATTTTGGGGTTAGGTTATGTAAAAGAAGAATATTAAAAGGGAAAAAAGTGGGGTTTGGTGATAAATGAAAAAAAAAAATTGGGTTTAAAAAAAACCCTGGATATCAGGTTGGAGGGAGAGGTATGGAGGAGGTAAATTTGTATTCAATATTTAGGAGTGGATGTGTAAAGCGATGGGTCTATAAAAGAGAAGTGAATCATAGAAATAAAAACGGGGGAAAAAGGTAGTGGTGCATGAGGAGACTGTGGAGACAAAAAAGCTTTGCCCAGGGGAAGGCATTGATAAAATTACCAAACGTTTCTTGTAGGGTTTTTGTGAAGCATAGGTGGGGAATGTTGAAAACAAGGGAAGGTTGGGGGGGCAATGGAGTTATGTCTGGGGGCAATGTGTGGTGTGAATATAATGGAGAATTCGTATTTTTGGGAAAATTGGGAAAGGAGGTGGGGGATTCCCCAAAACCTTTTTGTCCAGAGAGCGGGGAAGCATAGTTGACGTGGTTCAGACGTGTAGAGAGGAGGGAAAAAATTAGAATGA